TTGAGGGAGTGTGGAAGGGGGATAAGGTGTATGTGGGGATGGGCGATGTGGTGGGGGGAGAGAGACAGGACTGACCTGTGGGAGGCAGCGGGGAAGGAGGTGGCTCTGCTTAAAAGCCAGCTCCCCATGTGTACCAGCTCCCACATACCCTCTTCTCCCGCACCTGTGCTGCTGCCTCTAATATAGAGGCAGCAGTGCAGGACTTGGGGAGGGCAAGTGGCGCTGTGAGAGTTAGTATGCATGGAGCCAGCTGGGGGGAGAGAGACAGGACTGACCTGTGGGAGGCAGCGGGGAAGGAGGTGGCTCTGCTTAAAAGCCAGCTCCCCATGTGTACCAGCTCCCACATACCCTCTTCTCCCGCACCTGTGCTGCTGCCTCTAATATAGAGGCAGCAGTGCAGGACTTGGGGAGGGCAAGTGGCGCTGTGAGAGTTAGTATGCATGGAGCCAGCTTGAAAGTGGACTTCCCCCAAGCACCAGCTACCGCTTGCCCAACACCACTGCTTCTTCTGTGGGCTACAACGGGGTAAGGGAAGTGGCTCCGCGGGAACTGGCCCACGTAGAGAGCCAGTTAAAAGCTGTCTCTCCACGTGTACCTCCCCCCACCTGCCTCCCCTCTGTCCCCCCCTGCTACCTCTGATACAGAGGCAGCAAGGGGGGAGGGTTGTGTGTAACGGTTAAGATGAGCCCAGACTTATCAGTTAATCATGTATACGGGTACACGCTGTGAGAAGCAGAGGCAGGTAGAAGGAGCAGAGGTAGTTACATCTTGTTGTGAATTGAGTGACTTTCTGCAAAATCACTATTTCCTGCCCTTCTTTATATATTTTTCTTTTGAGACACTTTTCAGTCATTAAAAAGTAGAAGGCAAAGTGAGAACTGGGGAATTCAGAAACCCAGAGTCCTTAAGGCCAACATTATTTGTGCAGTTTGACTGGTGCTTTGACTGATTTCCTCAGCTGACTTACAACTTTCATCTGGCTTTATCAGAGTTGCAGAAAGAGTACAAACACTAACTACATTTTAAGAAATCTGATGTCCTTCAGTAAAGCTAACTCTTAAGAACAGGTTTTGCTGCAGCTCCAGGAAAAACATTTCATTTTCATGATGCATTGTGTAACTGATAGGATGCTGTATGTTCAGCAAGCATGGATCTATAATTATGATGTGATTAATACACACATTATGAAACTCTTTTGGCCAGAAAAAACCCACTTCCTTCTACCCAGAATTATTCTTTCATTTTCATTTCTAATGAAAGGGATGAAACCATTTTGAAACTTCTATTCACTGAATAGAATCTGAGCCTTGTGCCACATGTTGAAAAACACTTCTAGTAACAGATATTTGGAAATATGCAATACCATATGCTGTATATTTGAATGGGAAATAGCCTAGAAAGCCTACATTTTATTCACAAGTAACTTCTCAGTGTTTCCATGCCAAATTCCAGTTTTCACATGTAATAAAGGAAAGAATCAGAGAGATTTCTTGAAGGACAGTAAGAGTCTAACAAGGATTCACTTTGGGTGTTTAACAAGGAATAAAAACTAAAATCACTGAGTTTTTGCAGAGTAGGGGAGACAGAGGGTAGAAACTTATAATTCTCAGGATTTATTGACTTTGAAGGCAGTACCATAATGGCCTATCTTGGATAACCAATTTTCAATAGGTAGTGGAAGCACAGATTAATTAACCTATTATAGGTGCACAGAAGAGATTGGAAACTTTTCTCGTCCTATGTATATGTTCTTGATAGGAAACAGAGATGTGACACCTCCATATTTATAGACTGCCTTGACTTCTCTTTTTCAAAAATAGAAGCAAGAGTACTAGGTAGCCTCTTTCAACTAAGAGAAGCAGACTAGCTTGTCACTGTAGTTCAGTGGTCTCCAACCTTTTTAAGCACAAGATCACTTTTTGAGTTTAAGTACAGTCCAAGATCTACCTCAAATATAAATATCCTTGTCCTGCCTCCCTCCCACTGCCTCCCTCCCACCCCTTCTCCGAGGCCCCGCCCCTGCTCACTCCATCCTCCCTCTCTTGCCCAGCCTCCGTCACTTTCATCAGGCTGGGCAGAGGGTTGGGGTGCAGGCTCTGGTCTTGGATTAAGGGATCTGGAGTGTGAGAGGGTCTCTGAGCTGCTCCTGGGGCAGGCCGTTGGGATTTAGGGGGGGTTCTCGGTGCAGGCTCTGGGACAGTGTTTGGATGCAGGGGTGCTTGGGGCTTGGCGTGCAGGAGGGGGTTCATGACGGGTAGGAGCTCAGGCTGTGGGCTCCAGCTGGACCCTGATTACCTCAGGTAGCTCCCGCGTGTTGGTGCAGTGGGGCTAAGGCAGGCTCACTCCAGCCCTGGCCCTGCACCACTCTCTAAAGCAGCCAGCAAACTCCATCCCAAGTCATGTTGTGCCCCCTCTGTGCTCCGCAGAGAAAGGATACAGAGTGGGAGGGGACACCTTGACATCAGCACCCTCCTCTCCCTCTCCTGCCCTGCACAGAAGGCGGGAGGCTCCCCAAGGGAAGGGGCAGCTTCAACACAAAGGGTAGGAGAGGAGCAGCAATGGGGGGGAGGAACAGCTGAAGTGCTGGCACTTGATAGCCTCTTGGCCAAACCAGTCAGGATCCCCTGCCAGAGGCTCCTGATCTACTGGTTGGTGACCACTGCTGTAGTTAGAAGAATCTTTTAAAGTTGCCCTGCCTCAATTCAGAAAGTAACAGACACAGTCAATCTCACTTTCTATGAAAAATCAAAGGGCTGCTTGCCATTGAAGAGATTGTGCTTATCAGAACTCATTTTCTCTTCCTGGTCTTTGAGAATACTGTACTGTTGGCCTGTCAGGAGAAACCTACATTTGCTAATCCTTGTTCCTGTAATAGGTTGAAGCACAATTACTAGTATTTTACCCTTTGCAAACTAAATAGAAACAACTATCAGACTAGCCAGTCCTTTCATTCCAACTCCACCTAAGCATAAAGTTGGATCAAACTATCCAGTGTTTTCTGAGACTTTCTGGTTACTTTTTCCATTGGGATTTGCAAGAACACATGGGCATTTCACACTTCAACATGAGTGGAAGCTAAACAAATCTGTCTACGGGGACCTTTACAGAGTATTCCATAGAGTTTCTAAGACTTGCACTACAAATTAGATTAAAGCGAATAAAACCTACTGCTTCAACAGTTGCACAGGATACGTTATATCCTTATCTTGCCTTCCCATTAGGCTGTAGTTTTACTCCTTCCAACAGAGCTAAGGTTTGTCAATAGGAGTTTTAATAGGAGTCAATGTTTTCTATTCTACATCAGACAAATGCTGATTAGTAAAGCACATGAACAAGGGAAAGCTTTTTATGTTACGTTTGAGAAAATAATCACAATATTTAAATGGATTCATTCAAGAAAAATAGTGAGTTGGCGAAAATTAACTCTTATTCTTGTTCTAGGTTCAGAGTCCTTCCTGGATGCAACCTCAACCATATATAATGCAGCACCCTGTAAGTTCTTATGCTTCCTTCTCCCACTGTTGGTCTTTTTGTGTTTGTGTAGCTATAAAATTCTTTGCAGCTTCCTGAAGATCTCAAACTGTAGAACACTGATAAAGTAATTATTGATATCAGTGCTGTAATTCAGGATGTGCCCACTCCTGAGTGAGTATTTGCCTATGGGTTTACACCTGCACTCTACACCAGTGTTTCTTAAACTGTGTTCCGTGAGGCAGTTGGATGTGTGCCGTGAAGAACACAGAGTTCAAAATGGCTGCCCTTAAAGGGGCATGCAATCTTTTGCTCAACAAAAAATCCTCGGTGTTCCTCATAAAAAATTGTTTGGTGTTCCTTGGTCTTAAAAAGTTTAAGAAACATTGCTCTACACATTCCTCATGCTCTGGTGTGAGTGTATATAGGGAAGAACAGACCCACTACCATTTTGGTTCCTTCTCAGACACCTGCGGCTCGAAATGGAATGTTGTGGTGCCCACTCGGCTAGCTGCACAGCTTGCTAACTTTTCTTTCTTTTACTTTTTATTTGTTTAGTACAATTTGTACTTTAGGGGAGCCTGCCTCCCTTTGGATAGTCTATATTTCAACCTGGCTGTTTTCTGCAGGCTTTCCTAAAGGGTGATGCCCAACACAATAGGCTTGAAACCTGTCTGACTTGTCACAGCTCTTTGCCCTGCAGCAACAGGTTCTGCCTGTAGCTACTTCTACTACTTTTGGGAGTCTCCAAATCCAAATCTTCTTCAAGTATAAGATCAGTGCTGGATTCAAAAGGCGATCTAAAAAAAGGGAGGGAAAATAAACTAAACGTTCTTATGGAATGTTCTCTGAGACTTATGAGGTCTGAATCCATTCGCCCATGACCCCACCACACAGCCCATCAGCTTCAGTTGTTCAGAGCTCACTGGGGACTGTTTCTGCTTTGGTAAGCAAAGACTGTGGAGGTCCTTCAAATTCTTCCAAAACATAGACACAGTGTGTTAAGAAAGAGGGAAAAGGAGGTGATCAGTTGGAATTGGGACTTGATCATGACTGCTGCTACTTTAAATTTTAACTAGTTCAGCCTTCCTATACCAGGACTGATCTTCCCCCTTTGCTTCTGGGAGCAACATGGTGCCAGACTGGTAAGAGGCTCTGGGATTTACTAGTTGATCACGATTGATGGGTTGGTGACCACTATAGTAGACGGGCGGATATAGGGCAGGGCGAACGGGGCGGCCGCCCTGGGCCCCGCACTTCAAAAAGCCCCGCGCATGCGCCGTGGTGCCGCTGTGTATGCGCATGGCGCCGCTGTGTATGCGCCGTGGCAAAGGGGGGCCCCGCAGAATTACGCTGCCCAGGGCCCTGCAAAACTGTCATCTGCCCCTGATAGTAGAGACACTCCGAATATATCTCACTCCATACAAAATAGCCAGGAGGAAAAGGTGGCAGTGATCTTTCTTGTAATGTTCACCTTAGTGATTATGAAGCTCACCTGGTATGTGGAAAATTCCAGTTTGAGTCTTCTCCACTCACAAATGATGAGATGGAGGAACTTGAACATCTTAAGTTCAGGCCCTAATCACTGGACTATGGTGTCATTCTCAGATTATTTTGTTACTTTTTGAAAGGGAAAGATAGGAAGTTAAGGGGACATAGACTGTGTGTTCAGGAAGGCAGGTTGATGAGGACAACTACATTTATTCCCAATGCAGTTTCCTGAGGGAGAAATACATCCTTCTGTGAGGATGCTAAGAAACCAAATACTTTGTGAGTTACCCCTTATGGTGGTAATATATCCATGTGATAAATTGCAGAATCAATTTAAAAAATGCTCTAGAGCAGATCTGAAATAATTTAGACCACCTGTTTTACAGAAGTAAAATATATGTTATGATGTACACAGATTTATGGGCGCTCATTTAGTTACCCATAGCTTCCCCACTCATGACTATGATATTTTTGTAACACACAGTCGTGTATTTTTATATATACTCTGCCCATTGTATTTCACCAGTCATCAGCAACATTCCACATCAAAATGAGTGAGTTTATTGGTAATGACATCATACAATGGGGGGGGAGGGGAGCCTTCTCAACCCAGCCTAGAGGAAGCCTGGAGTCCCGCCCCGCCCTCCCCCCGGGCTATGTATGGCTTACAATGCCTTCTCTGCTGATAGGAAAAAGGTTCCCCACCCCTGCTATATACACTGACTTGTGCTTTAATGTATGCAGTGCCATGGCTGACAAACAAGTACATTTTTAAATCTAGTAAGAAAATAGCCTTGACTTTAATTAACCTCCTTATGCAGGCTGGAAAATGTAAATTTTTGGCAAAGTATTTGCTGGCTGTACAAGCGGAAAAGATGGCATTGAACACTTACATCCTTTCAACATGCCCAACTAATACATATTTTTTTCAAGTGTGTTGTTAATGGAGGCAATTGATTTTATTTACTCCCTATGTAAATGTAAGGTTTTGGAATTATAAATAAGGATGACAATCTGTAAGTCATGCTATGAGAAATGCAAATTAATATGTTTTCATGCTATTAGGGATATTCCATTTACAAGTGTGCAATTCTAGCTCTTATCTCAGTGAATTCAAAGATCTAGATTCCTGACTTCTTAATTTTGGTCTTTGGTCTCTGCGGAAGCTTGTGCGCTCTCTCTCGCTCTCTCTCTCATTTGCTTTGCACAGACGCTTGCAGTCTGCAGAACAGGAAATTCTTGCAGTGTTTGTGCCAGTGACTCATTTCATCTACACTGGTCACATGATTGTTTTTCTAACTATACTCAGTATTTTATAAAAAATATAAGACCTTCTGTAAAAGTAATAAATGATGCATTCAAAAACACTGACTTTCAAGGATACTGTAATTATTTCTATTAATTTTCAGCCTAAACCACTTTTTAGTCACACAGCTGTATATGTTCCCCATACAGTATGTTTAGAAACCTGATTTTACAGACACAATTTAGGGTGGAAATAAACCCCATCTGTACTCATCCATCTCACTTAACCCCAAAGCAGTCTTAGGAATTTTCCGAGCACCTGTATAGCAACTGAATGTTTGGCAACTTCAGGTATCTAAAGACTATGTCTGCTGTACATAAGAAGACAGCAACTTGTGAAACCAATGGGATAAACTCATCATGTTAGACTCCCTACAGATCAAATGGTATTTACCATGTTCTGGCAACATAGCCCTCTGCGACTCGTGCCCTAATGAAACTGTTACTTCCCTGAGCAAAAGGTATAATGCTTAACACAAGGGTGTGAAACTTGCACAGACAGTCCTGGGTATGCATTGTTTGTTACTATTTAGGATAACATCCTCACTATGAGATAGTGGCATGTGAAATATTTGCAAGTTTATACAGTCTATGTCAGCTCTTGCATTACTGGTAGGTAGCTGAGCAGTTACTCAATTTACAGATCCAGACTGAGGCATGTATATAAATCGGGTAGTTAACTATAAAATGGAGTAAAATCCTTAAGATCTCTCTGACCAATTAGTATCTAGACTCATTGTTGAACGTTAGGGAAAGCTGCTGGTATATGCTCTTGGAATGAAAGCCCATATATTACATGCCTGAGCTAAAAGAGAAGTGTAGTGAAAATCTGGACTGTCTCATTCTTAAAGTTATTTTTTTCCTCTCCTGCAGGGTGCAGTATTGACTCCCTCCATGGATCACACTATGTCACTACAGCCTGCATCCATGATAAACCCTCTGACACAACAGATGAGTCATCTTTCATTAGGCAGTACTGGAACAGTATGTGGCAATTTACTATAAAGCATAGCATATACAATGTGAAAATGTGTATTGGTTGCAGTGTCTGTTTAATAATGTACATGAAAACCAGCCCAATTAGGTTTTTCCCTCTCAAATAAAATGAAAATTGCTGTTTCCACACTTTAGTACAGGTTCTTTAGGGCAGAAGAGTAAGCATCCAGGCCAATGTAGAAATGTGAAATGCACTCCAAGTACATGGAACAAAGCAGAGGAAAGTAGTCCAGTTTAATCAATGTTGATTTTAGAAGCAGATTTAAAGACTTGAATGGTATTGAGTTTACATTGGAGGGTTCAGTGTTGTAAATAAAATTCTGATTCATGTACATTTGTCTGATATAAAGACATTTGATCTGCTAAAATCACTTTTCTCTGTATATTAAATTCTACGCAGTGTTGTATCTAGCATGTCAAATGGTAGTTTGGCATAGAGAAGTACCTGTATCAATTCATTTTATACAGATAATTGAAGAGACCTGTCTGATGGTAACTTTTGCTCTTTATTGACTTAAACCATTGATCTAAAGGAACACCATGAGTTTCCTAGTTTAAACTTCATTCCTAAATATACTAATTTAATAAAAATACATGGCATACTTTATTTAGATCAGTGGTTCTCAAACGTTTTGACCTGTGACCCATCCTGGTCAATGCAGCCTGCAGAGCCACTCCACCTCCGGCTACGAGCTGAATCTGGCCCACATGGCTGGCTCCCTCTAACTCCTGCAATAGGAATCTGGTGCTGGCACTTCAGTCTTGCAGGGAAGGGGCTGGAGCGCCAGTGCAGACTCCCCAGTGCGGGGGTGGGACCCCAGACCCTCAGCCCCACCTGTAAGATCACTGTTGGTCCACAGCCACACTTTGAGAACCACTGATATAGGTAAAGTCTGGCCTCCATCAGTGTCGTTTTTTGACATTTCTCAAATATACATGTGTTTATCCTGATAACACCTCTGTAAAGCAGAGAAATATTATCCTCAGTGTTCACAGATGTAAA